ACCAGGGGGGTGTCCTCCTGTGGCCAATGTCACCAACTGGGCGGAGGCACTGACTGGGGAGGGGCCCCACAGCCAATCTCACCAACTGGGGGGGTGAGTCCGGTGGTGCTCCCAGAAGTGCCAGTGGAGTTTCACCTGGCGCCCCCACTCCTTGGCCGGCGCTCACAGAGGGGGCACTGTCATTCCTGCCTGTCACCTAAATGGGGAGCGCTGCCTGTCAGGGGGTGCACCAGCGCTCTCGGGAGGTGCACATGCACCCCCGTGCACCCCTTAGGTGTCACCACTGTTGCCTGCCTCCTTGTGATTTTTTTTTACATTTCAAAGAGGACAATTAGCACCTCCTCAGGCTGAGCTCTGTCTCTTTAGAGAAGCTGAGGGGTTTTCTCCCCCCTTCCCTCCCCCCCCCCCCCAAAAAAAAACCCCAAACAAACAAAAAAACCCAACCAGGTGGATATATTTCTCGCTAGGGTCACTTGATCCCAGCTGACTTCCCACCTATGGTGGAGGGGCTGGACCTGATGATCTCTCGAGGTCCCTTCCAGCCCCTAATGTCTATGAAATCCCCCCACCCAGGGACAGGCATTTTTGCTACTTCACAAAAAAAAAGAAGGCAGGCAGACAGACAAGGGAACATGCGTTTTTATTGCACCTGAGCAATTGGTAAGAAGCACACACAAGTGTTAAGAAACTCTGGCTTGATGGAGAAAGGACACTACGCCCCTGGAATCCCCAAGATGAGACAGTGATCTGTGGGTTGGTCAGGGGTCCTCATGGAAACTGTACCAAGCCCGGATAGCTGAGGGATGCTGGGAACTATAGTCCTGTCATGCAGGGGAGATCAGTGACATGCTGGTGCCCTGCCTTTGCCTATTCTGTTGCTCCTCAATGCCAAGCAACTGCCCCCCCAGCCCTGCCAGAGGGGCCCCAGCTGTCCCTGTCTTGACTGGAAGAGGTTCATTACAAACCTTTGTGTTTACACGTTATGAAGCCATAGATAAGGCAAGGTAAGCGGCGGTGATGCAAAATAAAACATGTCTGAGCAGTTTTACTTTAACACACTGAAAAGACTTTTAAAGCAGCAGGAAATCTCTCTCGTGCAAACACAAATGCAGTTGTGGCAGCATAAATGGGAAAGATCGTGGTGGTACAAATGCCCTGGGATGCCAGTCCTTAACCCAGAGGAACAATAGAGACATCCTGAGGCTGAAGACCAGAATCTGAGTCCAGAGGGGGAATTAGGGGCAGCTAGGGGCCATCAATACACTGAGACTGAAGGGCCAGGCCAGAGCCTGTGGGCCTAGGCTATCAGTCTACAGTCAGAGCAACCTGAAGTCTAAGGCTAGGAAGGCCAAAGCCTATACAAAGGAGTAACTGGCAACCAAGTGACACCTGTGGGGCATGGAAGCAGCTGTAAGGGCGGGAGGAGGCCACAAAGGTAGCCTATAAGGCAAATAGGGCCCAAGGAACAAGTACACAGGGAGAAAAAGAGAGAGACTCATTTGTCTGTTAACTTCAAGGCATGGCAGGTGAGTAGGGTGAGACCCTGGGAGGTGGCAGTGGGAGCTGGAGAGGAAAAGGCATCTGTGAGGGGGAACCACAGAGGCCCTCAGGCACCAATTTATTACACAAGGGTGGAAGGCAAAGTGGCAGTAGGTAGCAGCCAGGCTGGCAGATGACCACAGCCACCTGCTGCCTTCACTTCTCAGCAGGATGCAACTGTGCCGGGAAGTGGAGGAGCTGGGAGTTACATTCTCCATTCAGATCCACACTGGAGGCTCTGGAGCAGGCCCTGACAGCATGAGAAACAGGTTGCCTGTTTTACCAGGTCTTTACTCTCCACCATGACCTGGGAAGCGCCCTTGTCCTGGGATGTGACACCTCTGTCACAGGCCAGCTGGGTACTGTGAGTATATTAATTTAGTTGTCAACTGACCGAGTACTGCAACTTTATTAACTACTGGGCTTTTTGGTTTGGGATTGAGGAGGTGATGTTGGGAGGAAAGTAATGACAAGTTTTATTTATAAAAAAGAATGAATTTTACTTATAGTGACAAAAGATATAGTTTGTACATATGATAGTTAGTAAAGAGGTTAAGCTAATAAACAACATAATAATACAAGTTAAAATTGACAGTGATAATAAAAACAGATAGATAAATCAACCAAGAGTTTCCACTTGGTTAGCAACTTATTGATAGTCTTTCAGTTTGGTACACGTCAAGTTGATTTAGCAAAGTCAGGCGTTTCTGATTTACGCTGTCAGAAGGAGAACCGGGGGAAGATCGCTCAGTCAGGATTTGGTTTTAGTGACCCTTCTGTTCCGTCCTTCCTGCGGGTCACTTAACGTGCGTGTTCTTTTATATCTTGTCTATGCTAATCTGTTGGCTGTATAGCCATTCACAATTTTATTCTATAGCTGTTATCTTATGGGGTTAAAAGGTGTTAGAAATTATTACAATAAGTTACTGCCCAAGCTTGGGTTTACCCAATAAACAACTCACACCACAGCACTTTGGGGTTTGAGATTAACATGTTCCTACTCAAGTTTAACCCACTATGTTAATTATACCTTGTGATTAGGTTAATTAATTTTACTGACTCTAAGCAAAAATTATTAAATCAGCTAAGTCTGCACTTATATTCTTTAGTTCTGCTTTTTAAGCTTATGCTAATTTCATGATTAGTGCAGCAGCTATATATATTTCAGACAGGTCGGAAACATCTACAGGAAACAGTTTCATAAGCGCTATTTCAAATATCTTCAAAAAGCAGATTTCTTTTTGTTATAAGTTGCTCACTAACTCTTTTGGTTCTGGCCATCACACACCTCTTTC